ATGTGTTAGCTAAAGGCCAACGATACAAAAGATCGACTCGCACCCGAGTCAAATAACACTAGATCAGGTACATAATTCACAAGGAAGGTACCTACGCATAATATAATATAAGCACAATCATCACAGAATGTAAAAGAATACATGAAAGAGTACATACCGGCCACGACATTGGGCGCTGCGCGGACCTCCTCCGCAGTCAACTGGAAGGCTCTCCCACGTGCCTTCGGTGCTTCAACCTTCGCAGGCTGAACATTCGCAGCTCTCACCGTAGCAGGGGCTGATCCCGGAAATGCTCCCTACGCTGACCCCCAAAACTGTGGACACTCTGCCTTCTGGTGTCCAGTCTGGTTGCAATGAAAACAATCTGAAAAACCCTTGGGGCAATCCTTGGCCATGTGCCCCTCCTTGCCACACTTGTAGCAAGACCCTACTCTGCAAATCCCCTTGTGGCTCTTGCCGCAGTTGCCACAAGTGCGGCCCTTCTGGTTCCCAGATCTCGAATCAGCGGGTTTGACTTGCTTGGCTGCCGACTGAGACTGAGTCGGCCGTCGATCCTTTCCCTAAGACTCAGCCTCCTCCCTGACTTGGGTCTCTAACTCTATCTCCCTCTTCCGGGCATTTTCCTAAAGCTCGGAAAATGTTCGGTATGTCGAGTTTGCCACGAACACACGTATATCCCTCTTCAGAATGCTTAAATATCGGTTCATGCGTGCCTACTCGGAGGACACGTGCTGTGGGCAGAACATCCCCTGCTCATGAAAAATCCTGGTAATCACCGTAACAGACTCAGTACCCTGATTGAGGGTCAGAAACTCCTGGGCCAAACGCTCCCTCTCCACCTAGGGAACGTAATCATCTCGAAACATAGCGGTGAGCCTATCCCAAGTCACTGCAGTAAGCTCAGCAGGCGTAAAGTGCGCAGTCACAAACTTCCACCAGTCCTTGCTCCCAAGCGAAGCTGGTTCAGCGCGAACCGGACTCTCAAATGCTCTGGAGATGAGCAAGTAAAGAAACACCCCTCTATGTCTGAAATCCATCTCATCACCGCGATCGGGTCCTGGGTCCCGTCAAACTCCGGTGGTTTTGTGTTGCTGAACTCTCAGAACAACAACACATCACCACCCTGCGGCCTAGTCGCAGCTATAGCTGCAGTGGCCGCAACAATAGCAGCCTTAGAAAGAGTTGCGTATCTCTCATCAAATGTCTCCATCAGAGTGGTCTTGATAGACCCGAACATCTCTGGTATCTCTGCCCTGATGGCTGCAGCCACCTTCTCCTGGATGATCCTACGGATCTCCTCATCACCCGAACTGCCAATCACTGGTGTGTGGCGCGTCCCAACCATGGTCTCCTTCTGAAATACAACATAAGAATATTAGAGACCCTTTTCGAGTATAAACACACTCGATAACTCCACCCTACTCGTTCCTTGGTGCCCAAAGGATTCTTACTTGGACTGCATACCAACCCGGTATCTTCAATAGTACCGGCCCAATACTACCATCCGTACCGCGTTGGCATTCATCCCAAGTCCTCCTCCTTGAGCCTCAAATCCCAAGTACTCTACTCTTTCTATCATGCTACTCACTAACAAAACTCTCATAAGCACCTCGCTGCTATCTAAATCACTTTTAAGCATCTCTAGCAGCCAAACCCCTAGACTAAGGCATCATATATCAGGCCACTCTCGTCCTAATAAGAATACCTAGTCTACTCTAGCATGCAAATCGTAACTCATCATATAACATACATAACATATATGATAATCACTTATTAGGAGGGTATTTTGGGAAATCACCGTTCGGGCGCTGACTGATCGTACACACGGCTCTGCTCTGTTTGTCTCAAGACTCTTTTTACTCTTTTTCAAATAATATTATTTTTATTATTAAAAGTTTCATCAAATCCCCAGTTTGAGTTCAGATACGCCCAAAGATATATCCGAATCCCTCAAACCAAGGTTCTGATACCAACTTGTAACACCGTAAAAATTTGAACAAATTTTCACTTTTGTAACCCATAAAATATCATTTGAGATCATAAACAAAACATTGTATCAATACAAAACCCAAGATCAAAATATATATAAACTCCGATATGCGTGTGTACGAATCATGCCTGCGCCTTCCCGCAATCATCACTGGTACCTGAAACACATAACACGTAAAACTGTAAGCATAAATGCTTAGTGAGTTCCCCAAAAGACCACTATAACACATAATAGCCACTCGAGGCTGTAACTCTTTTGACCCTCAGGTCTAGGTGTCTTACTGGGGCCCTCCAGCCCCAACTCTCTATGGGCCCTCTGGCCCTAACTCTGTGGACCCGAAGGTCCTAACTCTGTAACTCTAAATCACGCATAACACATAATAAATCATATCACATAAATAACATGCAATTACTTTGGCATATAACTCTAAAATACTCTATCACATAACTCTGTTACCACACTAGGTAAAGTATAGTAAGAAGACTCATCTCAGGCGTCTCGGTAAATCTCTAACTCGGTAGAAATATTGCCTAGTCTTCGCCTATTCACATAAAGTAAATACTCTTATAAATATAACTATCGAGACTAGATTCAACATGCCTATGGCACCCTCAGGAGGGAAAAAGGCTATTTCACCCCCCTCTCGACACAAGTACTCCATTGACCAAACCCTAAAAGTCAATGGTCACACTTTGACCCTACTCGCCGAGTGCACCCTGGTGACACGGCGAACTCACACATGTTCTTTAACACTTTGTCCCGCTTGGCACGCCGAGTCCCTCCCTATGCTTGACAAGTCGTACTAGGCATGAATCGCGGTGCCACCACGAATCAACTCGCCGAGTCTCAAGAACAACTCGGCGAGTACCGCCTTAAACTCCAGTCCTCTAACTCCCTTCTGACTCACTGAGTCACTCCCCAACTCAGCAAGTCTACTCACTAAGCAATTTACGTGAAACCCTAATCCTACTCGCCAAGTCTCAGGAACAACTCGGCGAGCTCATGCCATGCACAAACTCTACTGGCCTCCTGAGGTCAAATATGTTTCCCTAAATCAAAGATCTGGCCTTCCCAAGCATGAATGTCACGTAAAGCTCGAAACTTGATGCTTGTATAACAACAACAAGGCATCAAAAGGAGATTTAGTACCAAAAATGGCAACCTAAGTCCAATAACCCAAAACTGATTCATAAAGCTCCAAGGGTTAAGGTCTCTGGACCTCTTTGAGTCCAGATCCAAAGGCTCAAACTCGAAGAGGGACCATTTGCTCCACATAATCACTCTCAATAGGGGTTAGAAAACCCTAACTCTAATGATCAACACCAAAACTGAAGGGGGTTCGAACTATTACCTCAAAATGAAGTCTCTGAATCTCTGGAATTGTTAGAATCACACCTCCCATTTGCTCTTGTGCACCTCCTTCTTGCTAAACCAAAGGTACAAGGATCAAAAGTGACTTCTTCTTCCTCACAACGATTTGGCTCACTTTGGGTTCTCTCAAGGGATTGGTAGCCGCAATGAGAGGCTATAAGTGCCCTTAAATAGGCTCCAAACCCGGGGATTTAGGGTTTCATTAAACAACGTGGACTCGCCGAGTCCAAAGTGAATCCGGATGAACAATCACGACTCTACTCGGCGAGTCTACGCATCAACTCGCCGAGTTCCTTCTCATAATTCAAAATAAATAAATATTAAATAATATACTTGGGATTCCGGATGTTACAGTAATGAAAAATCTACCTAATTACATTACATATGAATGAATAAAAAATAAAAGTCAATCAAATAAAATAGTAGCAATTTATAAAAACACAATCAAACAAAATCAAGTTCAAAAATATTACAAAAAAGGTCAAAGCTATTGTTTACTTACATCCCAAATTCATTCATGTATTGTTCGTTGTTGTAAATGTCTTAACAAAGTTAATTGTTATTCTCATTGGTTTCACAAAGTATATTCTGCTCCGTTACCACCCGCATCATACATCATATACGACCAAAATAGAATGAAACAAAAGTTCATCAGAAAATATATAATTGATATATATCATAAAAAATGTGTTATCACTTACTTAATTGTCTTCCACATTATTTGAGTCGGTCATAAAATTGTCAGCAACATCAACTTCAATATCGGAATAAATAATCTAAATGTACTAGTTAAAAACAACAATCGTAAGAAAAATACATAAGTTAAACCATATGTTATAACTTACATCACTATATTCACCATGTTTTTACCTGAGACCTCGATTCATCAATAACATCATCTTTGATATGACCACAATTGTTCTAATTGAAAAAATCAAAATGTGAATAAGAAACATAACAAATGAACATAATTTAACAAAATATGCAACAATAATAAATGAATGGAAAAAAAAATGTGACCGTAAGTTAGTTACTTGACTCAATATTATTTACCTTAGATCTGGACTTATCAGAAACATCAACTTCATGATTAGCACATACAACCTAATATTAGTACAACCAAAAGATATAAAAAAACATAAGATATAAAGAATACAATTTATAATTTATTAAAGAAAAAACAATAACAGATACCGTTGATGTTGATGTTGGTGATTTAGGCAACACTTATTCAACATGTGTTTGAAGGGGACAAACAACAAAAACATCATAATTGTGTACATTGAAACAACAATAACAAAATAGTAGATGAAGATTTTTGTATGGTAAGAAAATTACACAAGTTAAACCATATGCTGTAACTTACATCATTATATATCCAATCATTTACCTCATGTCGAGACCGGTCACGTTTTTTAGTACAAAAAAAATTTGGGAGATTTTCAAGGAAGACCCAAAGTGGACTAAAACTGACATATTTACGGAACAATCGAAGAGGTTGCGCGGCTCGGGTTCGATCTATGTTTTGGACACACGTACAAACATCGACGCCAATGCAGACACGGATTAGATACCGGACGACTTCAACAACCTTGAAGAGATCTCCCCGCCTCGACGATTGATATACTGCGACAAAGCGATGCGTGCTCAACGACATGCGGATAAAACCGAAAGTAGACGTCGAGAGCAAGCCGAAATGAAACAAAAATTTGACGATCACAACGAAATCACGCGTAAAAGATATGAGTTACAATGGGATCATTTGGACTTCCTTCGTCGTGAAGCCATGGAATATCGCATTGCGAAAGATTTAGCAATTCTTCAAAGTAGCGATGAGAATTTGCCACCGAGACGGTTGGAAGTACTTCAAAAAATGAAGGTGAAGATCGAACACAAATATTTAGACGAAGATTAGTATTTTTCTTTTTCGTTGTAATGTTTTTTTGTCAATGTTTTTGTTTTTTTTTTTCGTTTGTAATGTTGTTTTTATTTTTTTTCGTTGTAGTGTAGTTTTTAATTAGTATTTATTTTAATTATATGTTATTTAATTTATATGTTATTTAAAAATTATTATGACATAAATTAAAAAATAAAACAAAATAGACAAATTGAAATTAAAAATATCAAAAGAAAAAAAAAACGATAGGTGTGTTAATGTGTTATTACATGTTATTGAGTGTTGTCAATTTCCACCTTGGGTGTTATAACAATAAAAGTATTATTAGGATGATGGGGTGGACACTTTGATGTGATAACATGTAATAACATGTTACGCACACCCAACAACCTAATAATATCAAAACGCTGATTAGATATAAATTTTGCCAAATCTCCTATGCTTAATGTAGTGTTTGTACTTTTCGAGAATACCCGTGCTCAAAGTGATGATTGTCGTTGTCTTTTTTTTTTTTTTGTGTGTGTTTTGGACACCTTCTGAACCCTGGATCTAGCAAAATTTTTTGACACCAAATGACATACCATATCTAGATATCCGAAAGTATAGTTGTTCTTCGACATCAAGTTTAGCAGTAGGTCTTAAGTGGCGAAGAAACAAACCACGAATAAGTAATGCATTGCCTTTCATATACGGTATTTCTAACCATTTTCCAAATGAAGTCGTCCTAAATATAGTTGATGATGTGGATCATTTAAACTACTTAGGACCATCCATAATTTAGGGCAAGAAGCTTTTATTGTAATACTTACATGTAGTTCACATGCTAGAAAATTCAAGACAAATTAACCAGATAAAAAATCCAGAAGATGAAAAAACCTCAAAATATGCCTCATATTCGATCTCATAGCATAATATGCTGTTTGTTCTTCATCATTTCAGCATTATTACCTAAAATCATAGAAGCTACTAGTACATGTTCAAAGGATAACACATAACAACAAGAAAATCGAAACTCTAAGATGAAACCAAGAGCGATATTGCATATGGCATTGCCATATGCGGTGGTACAACTTTGTAATACATGTATTATGCATTACAGACTTGTAACACCGTAGATGACAATGTCATCTTTAGTTTCTTTCTTGGTTTCATCATAGATTTCAATGTTTGGTAAAAAAAGGCCAAACAACATAAAAATAACTTCTAGATATGATCATACAAATAACTAGCAATTAAAACATCACTTACTACATTGTTGAGTTCTTTAGCCACCATAGAGAGATTCCGAACAATTGAGAAAATGGCTTACAAAATCTATAATAGGTCGTGAAACCAAATGACGGGCTAGGAAACTGCAACATGTTTAATGAAATCGAAGTCGTGTTATACCCAACTATGAACGAATTGCGAAACTGTAGATTTTAGAGACTATTTATTGAAAACTTTAATTTTTGCCTATTAAGTAAGAAGTAATATTAAGTAATAAGTAATTAGTGTATTAGGCTAAATTTGTAAATTATATTAAATTTAGAAGTTAAAGTTTCATAAAAATGCACATCAAAGCTTATTGAAATACCTTTTGAATTCCGAGTTTTTTTGTTTATAATAATAGTTTTAAGCTCATAATTAATTCCAAACAAATTTTTTTATTTAATTCAAATTTTGTTAATAATTACAAAAGGCTTTAAAAAATCTCTGCCGAGCACGCTCACATCTGAAACGTAGATCAAATATACTTACAATTTTTTTTTATTAATAGACATGGTATAAAAAAAAATACATATCAACTGAATTTAAAGTAGACTTGGGTTACATGAGTTTTGACTTTTTTGACCCCATGAAGCTTCATCTGTTCTGTAAATTTTGTTTCTGTCTACATACGTTGAATAACACTAACAAAACAAAATCTTACATAAACCAATTTCTTTGAAATTAATGTTATTTTCATGTCATAATGGTATGTCACAATCAACAATTATTTTGGTCGTTGTGGTTTGATTATTAATTTAGACTTTGTCCATGAGTTTTGAATAATTCTTTCTTCTCTTAACATTTTGTACTATATACTAGAGGCAAGCAGATAAAACACTCTTAATTAAGCATCAATCTTCATTGCCATGAAGTCTCTCGCACTTGCTACCTTTTCTTTTTATTCATCTTGCCTTTGGTTGATCTTTGCTTCATCACTTTCCACCTTGTGTTTCAGTAATCACAACTCTGATAAAGCAGATAAAGTACACTGTGTAGCCACAGAACGATTGGCGCTTATTCAGTTCAAGAACAATCTCGTGGACAACGCCGACCACCTCTCTTCTTGGTCAGGCGAAGACTGTTGCAGTTGGTACGGTGTGGTCTGCAATAACATCACCCACCACGTCCAGGAGCTTCGCCTCCGTGGATCTGTCGATGGCTATTGTCATGAGGTAGATGACAGCGATTATGAACCCAAACAACAAATGTTAGGAGGAATCATAACTCCTTCTTTGATCAAGTTAGAACAACTCCGCTACCTAGACTTGAGTTGCAATGATTTCGGATTCATCCCGATTCCAGCATTCATCGGCTCTCTGCAGAATCTGAGATATCTTAACATCTCAAAGTCACAATTCCAAGGGGAAATTCCTCACCAGCTTGGGAATTTATCATCGTTGCTTGTTCTAGATGTTCATGAGAACGATATTAGCTCGGAGAATTTAAAATGGATAGAGAATCTGAAGCAGTTGCAATACCTCAATATGGGTGGCATCAACCTCACGGGAGCTTCGGATTGGCTTCAGGCAATCAACAGTCTACCTTCTTTGCATGAACTGCACTTTTCTTCATGTCGCTTAACTAAAATTCCTAGTTACCCGACCAGAGTTAGTTTTACTTCTCTCATCGTCTTAGATCTTTCGTATAACTCCTTCTATGGTTTCTTGCCTGGGTGGGTTTTCAATCTTCCTAAATTAATTACGTTAGATCTTACTGCTTGTTTTATCAATGGTCTAGATCTCAGAAGTCAAGGTGGTTTTAATAGCACACCCTCTTTGAGGACTCTTCGTATTTCAAGAAACGCTTTTGCAAATTCTTCTTCATTTCTTAACGGGTTGTCCAACTTAAATAATCTCCGTTTTCTTGATGTTAGTTTCTGCGACATTCATGATCCAATTCTTGTCAAACTTCAGAAATTGTCTCTAATTGTTCATCTTGATCTATCACACAACAATATCGTTGAGGAGATACCTAAATCTTTCAGTAGCCTCTGCAACTAGACAACCCTTAATCTCCAATCCAACAATTTTTCGGGTGACGTGTCTGAGCTTCTTGAAAGATTTTGTGAATGTGAGTCACCTAAACTGGAATTGATAGCTTTAGGTGGCAATCATATCACTGGTCGACTCCCGAAAAAACTAGGAAGATTGAAGAATCTGACAAGGATTGATCTCTCATCCAATAAGTTAATTGGGATTCTTCCCCGTTCATTAGGAAGTTTGTCACTGTTGAAGATATTACAGCTTAATAGAAATCAACTCGAGGGTATAATCCCGAATTCAGTTGGTGATCTATCCTCGTTGGAACTTTTGACACTTTCCTACAACAATTTAAACGGAAGTCTTCCTAAAAGTGTTGGAAAACTTGGGAAACTAAGTTTTCTGGAACTTCATCACAATTCGTTGACAGGTATTGTGATGGAAAACCATTTCGCGAATCTAACGGCGTTGGAAACATTGTGGGTCGGGGACAATAAGTTAGCGTTTAACCTTGTCAACAACAGTTGGAACCCACCATTCAACCTCAAAGTGTTGCGAATAGGTTCTTGTAGTTTAGGCCCACTTTTTCCTTTGTGGGTTCAATCTCAAAGAAACTTGGAAGAGTTGGATTTAGCAAACGCAAACATATCAGACACTATCCCGAATTGGATGTGGAGTACTTTCTCTTTAGTAACGTTCTTGAACATATCCCATAATAATATTATGGGAAAACTGGGGAAGGTTGATTTTCTTACACCGGAGGCAGTAGTAGATATGAGTTCTAACCATTTCCATGGTGAGCTCCCTAGTTATTTCAATCAACCTAACTTTGCTTTCTTAGATCTTTCATCTAATAATCTTTCTGGATCTTTAGATCAGTTCTTGTGTTCTGGAATTCAACCATTGCAACAGTTAAGTGTTCTTAATCTAGCAAACAATAACATGTCAGGTGATCTACCAGATTGTTGGATGAAATGGGAATATTTGGTAGTCCTAAACCTAGAAAACAACAGTTTATCCGGTAAAATCCCGTCATCTTTGGGAAATACTTATCGGTTGACATCACTAAACATAAGAAATAACAAGTTGTCAGGTGAAATACCGATGTCTCTTTTGAATTCCAAAAGCTTGTTGATTGTTGAGCTTGCAGAAAATGAACTCACTGGAAGAATCCCGGATTCGATAGGAAGAAACAATACAAGTTTGAAAATTCTGAGTCTTCGTTCCAACAAGTTAGAAGGTGAAATCCCGAATGAAATATGTAGTTTCAGTTCTATACAAGTTTTGGATCTTGCTGACAACAATCTTTCCGGGTACCTACCAAAATGCTTTACAAACTTCACTGTCATTTATGGACAACAGACTTCCAATCCCATTGTTCTTTACAATACTATTTTCCAGAATATAGTTTTAGGCAGTGCGACATTGGTGACAAAGGGACAGTTTTATTTATATAGCAACATTCTGTATTTAGTGACGACAATAGACCTTTCTAATAACAACTTTTCTGGGTCGATTCCAAATGAACTCTTCTCACTTTCAAGCTTACGTTACCTGAATCTTTCACAAAATCAGTTAACAGGAAGAATTCCCAACACTTTCGGTGAAATGAGAGAGCTCGAATCTTTGGATTTGTCTATGAACTATCTTGATGGGGAGATTCCTTTTAGCTTGGCGGGGTTAAGTGGTTTGAGTTTGTTGAACGTGTCATACAACAATCTTACAGGAACAATCCCAATAGGAAGTCAGATTCAAACCTTCAATGAATTTAGTTTCATTGGAAATGCACTTTGTGGGGCTCCTCTTCCAGGGTGTCGACCAAATAGTGACGCTACCAAAGGTACAAATCATGATCATGACGTCGACGTCCCTAATGGCACTGATTGGATCTTTGTAATATGTATGATTGTTGAATTGGTTGTTGGTTTTTGGATCATGATTGGCACGTTGATTGCTAGCCAACAATGGAGAGATGCATATTATCATGTTCTAGACAAGATGAGGATCAAGCTCATAAATTTCATTTCTCTTGTATCCACGTAACTAGTGTTATACCAATCTGGTTGACAAATGTAAAAGCAACAGATTGATTTTACTTTCTTCTATAGCATTTTTCTTTCATTTTTTTCCATATTAGCAATGTAATTGTAACACCTTAAAAATTTGAACAATTTTTCACTTTTGTAACCCATAAAATATCATTTGAGATCATAAACAAAACATTGTATCAACATTGTATCAATACAAAACCCAAGATCAAAATATATATAAACTCCGATATGCGTGTGTACGAATCATGCCGGCGCCTTTCCGCGATCATCACTGGTACCTGAAACACATAACACGTAACATTGTAAGCATAAATGCTTAGTGAGTTCCCCAAAATACTACTCTAACACATAATAACCACTCGAGGCTGTAACTCTGTTGACCCCAGGTCTAGGTGTCTTAGTGGGGCCCTCCAACTCCAACTCTCTATGGGCCCTCTAGCCCTAACTCTGTGGACCCGAAAGTCCTAACTCTGTGGACCCGAAGGTCCTAACTCAGTAACTCTGAATCATGCATAACACATAATAAATTATAGCACATAAATAATATGCAATTACTCTGGCATATAACTCTAAAATACTCTATCACATAACTCTGTTACCACACTAGGTAAAGTATAGTGAGAAGACTCACCTCAGGCGTCTCGGTAAATCTCTTACTCGGTAGAAATATTGCCTAGTCTTCGCCTATTCACATAAAGTAAATAATCTTATAAATATAACTCTCAAGACTAGATTCAACCTGCCAATGGCACCCTCAGGAGGGAAAAAGGCTATTTCACCCCCCTCTCGACACAAGTACTCCATTGACCAAACCCTAAAAGTCAATGGTCACACTTTGACCCTACTCGCCGAGTGGACCCTGGTGACTCGGTGAGTTCACACATGTTCTTTAACACTTTGTCCCGCTTATGCTTGACAAGTCATACTAGGCATGAATCGCGGGGCCACCACGACTCAACTCGCCGAGTCTCAAGAACAACTCGGCGAGTATCGCCTTAAACTCCAGCCCTCTAACTCCCTTCTGACTCACTGAGTCACTCCGCAACTCAGCAAGTCTACTTACTAAGCAATTTAAGTGAAACCCTAACCCTACTCGCCGGGTCTCAAGAACAACTCGCCGAGTTCATGGCATGCACAAACTCTACTGGCCTCCTGAGGTCAGATCTGTTTCCCTAAATCAAAGATTTGGCCTTCCCAAGCATGAATGTCACGTAAAGCTCGAAACTTGTTGATTGTATAACAACAACAAGGCATCAAAAGGAGATTTAGTCCCAAAAATGGCAACCTAAGTCCAATAACCCCAAACTGATTCATAAAGCTCCAAGGGTTAAGGTCTCTGGACCTCTTTGAGCCTAGATCCAAGGCACAAACTCGAAGAGGGACCATTTGCTCCACATAATCACTCTCCAAAGGGGTTAGAAAACCCTAAATCTAATGATCAACACTAAAACTGAAGGATGTTCGAACTATTACCTCAATATGAAGTCTTTGAATCTCTGGAACTGCTAGAATCGCACCTCCCCTTTGCTCTTGTGCACCTCCTTCTTGCTAAACCAAAGGTACAAGGATCAAAAGTGACTTCTTCTTCCTCACAACGATTTGGCTCACTTAGGGTTCTCTCAAGGGATTGGTAGCCGCAATGAGAGGCTATAAGTGCCCTTAAATAGGCTCTAAACCCGGTGATTTAGGGTTTCATTAAACAGCGTGGACTCCTCGAGTCCACTCATGGACTCGCCGAGTCCACTCATGGACTCACCGAGTACAAAGTGAATCCGGATGAACAATCACGACCCTACTCGGCGAGTCTACGCATCAACTCGCCGAGTTCCTTCTCATAATTCAAAATAAATAAATATTAAATAATATACCTGGGATTCCGGATGTTAGAATTCTCCCCCACTAGAATCAGACTTCACCCTCGAAGTCTCACTCTGGAAATAACACCGGATGCTGCTCACGCATCTCACACTCCGGCTCCCAAGTCAGCTCGGGCCCATTCCGATGTTGCCACTGAACCAAAACCAGAGGCACTTCCTTGTTCCTCAAAACCTTGATCTTCCGATCCATGATCGCCACTGGTCTCTCAGCATAATTCAGGCTCGCATCCACCTGAATGTCCTCCAATGGCACCACTGCCGACTCATCTGCTATACACTTCCGCAAATGCGATACGTGGAAAGTATCATGAATCTGACCCAACTCTGCAGGGAGCTCCAAGCGATACGCTACTCTGCCCACCCTCCCGATCACTTTAAACGGCCCAATATACCGGGGTCCCAGCTTGCCCCTCTTTGTGAATCGGATCACTCCTTTCCAAGGAGATTCATTCAGGAGCACCAAATCACCGATTCGAGCTCGGATCGTCGCCTATCAGCATAACTCTTCTGGCGACTCTGAGCGGTCAACATTCTCTACCTGACCTACTGTATCTACTCTGTCGTCTGAAGAACAATCTCCATTCTACCCATTACACACTGCCCCACTTCTCCCTAACAAATGGGGGGTCCAACACCTCCTCCCATACAACAACTCAAAGGGTGGCATACCAATGCTCGAATGATGGCTGTTGTTGTAGGAAAATTCCGCCAAGGGTAAGTACGTGCCCAACTCCCACCGAAATCCAACACACATGCCCGAAGCATATCCTCGAGCGTCTGAATCGTCCGTTCACTCTGTCCATCAGTCTGGGGGTGGCACGCGGTACTAAAATGCAGTCTAGTACCCAATTCCTCATGGAATTTCTTCCAGAATATAGAGGTGCAACGCACATCTCGGTCTAAGACAATCGAGATCGGTACTCCATGCCGTGCTACCACTTCCCTCACATATATCTCTGCCAACCTCTCTGCGGAAGAGCTCTCGCTAATAGCGAGAAAATGAGCGCTCTTCGTTAACCGATCTACAATCACCCAAATTGCATTGACGCCCCTCGCGGTCCTTGGAAATTTGGTGATAAAGTCCATGGCAATCTGTTCCCACTTCCAGTCGAGAATCTCTAACGGATGCAACTTACCGTGCAGTCTCTGATGCTCGGCCTTAACCTTGCGACAAGTTAGGCACCTCTCCACGAACCATGCAATGTCCCTCTTCATACAGGGCCACCAATATTCCCTTTTCAGATCCAAATACATCTTAGTCGCCCCAAGATGGATCAAGAACCTCGATCGATGAGCCTCTTCCATCAAAGTGGTACGCTTTCCGCCCACATGCGGTACCCAAATCCAACCCTGAAATGTCATAAGCCCCCGACCATCGGTGATGAACTCCGATACTTGCCCGACAACCCGCTCTCTCTTCTGGTTTTCTGGCCTAACGACCTCGGTCTGAGCTCCTCGAATGGTGTCCAACACCGGGGGTCATCACGGTCAACCTCATACAAATGTCACACATCGGAACACTCTCTGCCCTACGACTCAAGGCATCGGCAACCACGTTGGCTTTTCCCGGGTGGTACAGGATCTCGCAATCATAATCCTTTACCACATCCAACCATCTCCTCTGTCGCATATTCAGGTTGGGCTGACCCATCAAGTACTTCAGGCTCTCGTGATCCGTATATATGGTACACCGGACCCCATATAAATAGTAACACCAGATCTTGAGGGCGAACACCACTACCCCCAAATCCAAATCATGGGGTAGGATACCTCGCCTAATGAGGCTTCAGCTGCCTCGATGCATACGCTATCACATGACCCCTCTGCATAAGTACTGCTCCCAATCCTGATATCGATGCGTCACAATATACCACAAAATCCTCCATTCCCTCCGGGGCTAACATCGGGGCTTCGCATACTCTCTGGCGAAGTGTCTCGAAGGAGGCCTGCTGCTCTGGACCCCAAGCAAAAACTACACCCTTCCGGGTCAACTTGGTGAGTGGCAAGGCGATCTTGGAGAAATCCCTGATGAATCTTCGATAATAGCCTGCCAGCCCTAGAAAACTCCTTATCTCCGTGGGCGACCTTGGCACCTCCCAACTCATCACCACCTCAATTTTAGCAGGGTCGACCAATATCCCTTTCTGGTTAATGAGATGTCCCAGGAACTGGACCTCTCATAACTAGAAATCACACTTGGAGAACTTCGCATAAAGCCTCTCCGATCTCAAAACCCCAAGGATCTCCCACGGATGCTCCTCATGCTGCTCTCTAGATCTCGAATATACCAAAATGTCATCGATGAATACGATTACCGAGCGATCCAACATTGGTCTGCACACCCTGTTCATGAGGTCCATGAACACTGCTGGTGCGTTGGTGAGCCCGAAAAGCATCACCACGAACTCGTAATGCCAGTAGCGAGTCCTAAAAGCTGTCTTCTGAATATCCTCATCTCGCACCCTCAACTGATGATATCCAGACCTCAAGTCGATCTTGGAAAACCAAGATGCTCCCTGCAACTGATCGAACAAATCGTCAATCCTCGGCAACGGGTAATGGTTCTTGACCATCAATTTGTTTAACTCCCGGTAGTCAATGCACATCCGGTGTGAACCATCCTTTTTCTTGACAAAAAGGATAAGAGCTCCCCACGGTGAACTACTCGGCCGAATAAACCCTTTTCCCAGCAGCTGCGAGGATAACTCCTACATCTCTGGAGGCACAAGGCGATAGGGCGCAGCCCCCGGAACCAAATCGATACTGAACTCCACCTGCCTCACACGAGGTACACCCGACAACTCCTCCGGAAATACATCCGGGAACTCACGCACTATCAGAACATCTCTGTAACGCCCGGGTTTTGGGGCTAAGCATTTTTGGATGATGTAATAGTCTAGGTCAACTATTGTAACTCTTTTTGAAGTAATAAATATTAAATATTGAGTATTATGTGAATTATGTGTGTTTATGTGTTTATTATTTAATTACAAATGTATAATTAATAAAGAATAAAAATGAGCGTCAAAATTAAAGTGTGAGATAATCCCGATATCTCTACATAAAGTTGTAGAATATGTCTCAAGGTTTCCGTGCATATAAGGAACGCCGAAAT